AAATTAAGGCTAAAATCAACAAAATTAATTTAGATCGTACATCTCTCATGGTGAGACGTCTCAGGAAAACATTTTACTTAAAAGGTAACAGGGCCTCAACTCTTTTGGCATCCAAACTCCGGCATGTGAATGCCCAATCAAAAATAGCATATTTACTTGATGATCAGGGGCAAAAAGTGTTTCATCCAACTAAAATTAGTGATATGTTCGCAGAGTATTATAGTAAACTTTATAATTTAGAATGTAATTTGGACCTCCCCCAGCCTTCTACAACAATAATTGATAAATTCTTAGACAGAGTGTCATTGCCTCGGCTTTCTCCAGTACATTTAGAAAGCTTAGAATGTGAAATATCAGCAGCAGAGATAGCTGAGGCAATTAAACTTATGCCATCTGGAAAAGCCCCTGGTCCCGACGGATTAACTATTTTATATTATAAAACTTTTCCAGAAATTTTAATTCCCCATATGACTAAATTGTTCAATTCCTATAAGTCCGAGGGAAAGATGCCAGAGGAGTCCTTGTGCGCACGAATAGTCACTTTGCCAAAGCCAGGGAAAACTCCCGATAGATGCCCTAACTTTAGGCCCATTTCTCTGATTAATAATGACTCAAAGATTTATTCTAAAGTTCTCGCTAATAGATTAACCAAACTAATCCCATTGTTAATTAATAAAGATCAAGTAGGTTTTGTGCAGAATAGACAGGCGCCAGATGGAACTAGAAGATTCATAAACTTGATTCAGCACATCAATATGACCAAAACGCCTTCTTTGCTTCTATCTCTTGACGCTGAAAAAGCGTTTGACAGGATACATTGGGGATATTTATGGAGAACATTAGATAGGTTCAACATACCATCATCATTTATCACAGCAATTAAGGCGTTATATTGCGCACCCTCCGCCCATGTCTCAGCTTCTGGCTTCACATCCAAAACTTTTTCCCTAACCAACGGGACGAGACAGGGGTGCCCTTTATCTCCAATTTTGTTTGTTTTAGCGATAGAACCCCTGGCAGAACTGATTAGGACAACCCCACAAATTGTAGGAATTGCGGTTAAAGAATCCGTTCACAAAATTGGTTTGTTTGCAGATGATATAATCCTAGCTATCAAAAACCCAAAAGAATCTTTGAGACACCTCAAGGATATTTTAACTCAATTCGGTGAGATATCGTATTACAAATTAAATGAGTCCAAAACTCAAGCCCTTCCGTTTCATTTAAACAACTTGGAAACCATTGCCCTTAAGAAATCATATTTATTTGATTGGAGAACTGAATATATGGAATATCTCGGCATTAATTTATGCAAAAATTTGGTCAATATGCACAATCACAACCTGAGGAAAGCATGGTCAGACCTACAAAAAGAGATGGAGAGATGGGGTGGGATGGAGCTCTCATGGCTGGGGAGGGTTGCATCTATTAAAATGACGATACTCCCCAAAATTTTATATTTTTTTAGGACCATTCCTCTGTCCATTCCATTATCATTTTTTAATAAAGTTCATTCGACAATGTTGAAATTTATATGGGGGAACAAGCCTGCCCGAGTGAGGCTCACTTCCCTGCAGCACCATAAATTGAACGGCGGTATCGGTGTCCCCGATATCCGCAAATATTATTTCGCCACTAATGCTGCAGTGGTTGTGAGCTTTAACAACCAGGATGATAAACCCAGATGGATGGAGATAGAGGAATCAAAAATTTCACCGGTTAGACTATCAGAATTACCTTGGTTAAATCCTAAGAAAAGACCTGGAATTACAAAATTATTTTTATCCACTAGGACTACGCTTAAGGCCTGGGACATTGTTTTTAAAAATGACCAGTCTCCCAGTTTATATAGAGCAATGCCTATTGAATTATTGAAAGATCATATACCATCCTTAAAAATAGAATTATTGAAGGATTGCTCTATAACTAATCTGGACAATTTTTTTTATGGCAATGCTATTCTTTCTTTGGAAAAATTGAAGCTTAAATATGGATTGTCGAATGCATGTGAACTGGAATGTATGATAATCCTTGATAAATTGAAAGAACTATACCAGGTACCTGAAACCGATAAAAATTATAAATCACTTGAGATATCTCCTTTAGAGAAAGTTATTTTATACAGCCCTGCTAGTAAAGGTATGATATCCTTATGTTACTTATCTCATAATGCCAAGCCCTTAATTAAATTAAAACATATGCTGTCATGGGAGACGGAGTTGGGTGCCCAGTATGATTTAGAAGAATGGTTCGGTTTCTTTACAGGTTTAAAAGGTATTTCATATTGCACCGACCATTTTGAAAATCATTATAAAATCTTATATCGCTGGTACCTGGCCCCGTCTAGATTACATAACATGAACAATATGTATTCGGACCGATGTTGGAGAGACTGTGGGGGATTGGGCAATATGGCCCATATCTGGTGGTTCTGCCCCAAGTTAATTAATTATTGGAAAATGATCCACAATCTGATTATTAAAGTGAACGGAACCATTAGTATCTTAACCTCGGAACTAGCCTTATTTAAAAAACTCCCGGAGTCTGTTAATAGATCAGATAAAATAATCATAGGCCACATTCTGATCGCTGCTACATCCTGTTTACCTAGACATTGGAAGTCTCAAAATGTGCCATCTCTCAGAGAAGTTTTTAATTTGATTTTAGAAAATAAGGCACATGAACTATCACACAGAGCCAATATGCATGGTTTCCCAATACTAAAATACAACTGGGATAAATGGGAGGAAAAAATCAAAACAATTTATGGTCTTTGATATATTTATTGTTAAAGTGCATTGTTGTAAAACATTTTTCTTTTTGCCATATATTTTAATATGTTTATTTCATTGATGGATGGATACCCCTTCCCATTTCCATGTTACCCCTCCTTTCCTACCCTTAATACAATGTTTGTATTATTATCATTTGTTATACAAAAAAAAAAAACTTTAATAAAAATTATTTGAAAAGAAAATGTTACATGAACAATAGATTGATGAGATTTAATGTAAGTATTGTGTGTTTTATTTTTTAGTTCCAAGAGCTGCTCCAAGAAGCATTTTTATCAAAAACATTACCAAGGAGTCTGTGCATATATCTTGGGAAGAAATCCAAGAGGAGGATTGTTTGGGTTTCTTGGTGGGCTACGTTATACATTACAAAGATATATTGCAGAACACAACTCTATGTAAGTCCAATAATATGGGCATGCTTTCATGTAGAGCAGTGGTTCTTATCCCTCTGGTCCATAAATCTGGGTCCGTGTGCAATTTTCAGTGGGTCTCCATTAATCAGACTAGGTCCAGACTAGGTCCAAATGGTTTACTTTCGTGGCACTGCCATATCCAGGGCAGTGGAGACTGGTCTGACACTGGAAAGATTTTATTGAAGGGGTCATTAATAAAATGTATTTTAGTATGTATACAACCATTGTAATGTGTGTATGCACTGTAAAAAGAAAACTATCCTAGTCAAACGCCAGCACACAAACAAGCTTCAGTGATTTGGACTTTAACTCATATCCTCAGCAACCATTTCTGGAGTCTACCTAGGTGATAAAATAACTTTAAAGAGGCACTGCCATATGGCAGGTTTCATTTTTAAATTAAATGAACACTATAGTCACCAAAAAATATTTAGCGTAATGAAGCAGTTTTGGTGTATAAATATGCCCCTGCCTTCTTACTGTTTAATTCACTGCCATTAAGGAGTTAAATAACTTTGTTTACACAGTCCTAGTAACACCTCCCTGCATGTGACTCATATTGCTTCCTGTAAAGAGTCGTCTGATGTTTACACTTTTGTTTTGTCAAATTCTGTTTAAATTAGAATTTCTTATCTCCTTTTCTATTGATATCTTGCTAGACCCTGCAGGAGCCTCCTGTATGTAATCAAAGTTTAATTTAGAAAGCAGGAGATAAAACCATTTAAAGCATCTGATTGAAAGTTAACCTGTTTTGTTTTATGCGGGCTGTGTCAGTCACACTCACGTCCATGGGGGGATAGGTCTGCATAAACAGAAACAAAAGTATTCTAAATGGCAGAGAATTGAGAAGAGAGCTTGCATAGATATGATCTATACACCAAAACTGATTCATTAAGCAAAATATGTTTTGATGCCTATAGCAGTGGTTCCCAAATTTCTTAGGTTCAAGGCACCCTTAATATTTCAGTATTTTTCCAAGGCACCCCAAGTCAAAATTTCTAGGTTGTATATTTGTACAGGGCTGTGGCATTTACTGGCGCTATACTGTAATCAGGGCCGGATTAACATAGGGGCTGATGGAGCTGCAGCTCCAGGCCCAGGCCCATGGAATAGGCCCATTTAAAAAAAAAAAAAAAAAATTTTAACTTTTTTTTTTTTACTTTTTTTTTAACACACTACTCTTAGGTTTTCCATCTGACTGGTATTTTAGGGCACAGCCTGTATTTAAGGCTGCCTGGCCGTGATGGTATTGCAGTAATACCGGCAAGACAAATGCAAACATTTTTCTCAGTATAAACGGAGATTACTCTGCAATACCAGCACCGGCCAGTAGGGGTCACTGTGTATGGAGAGAGGCAGGGATAGGAAGTTACAGCATATCCCTCCCTGCCTCTCTCTACTCACTGATCCGCGGGGGAGCAACAACACAGTACAGAGAGTTCAGACAGCAGCTCCCAGCCTGCAGAGACAGACTACAGCACAGGGAAGTGAGGGATGTGGGGAAAGGCAGCAGGGAGACATGGGGACACTGAGACACTAGGGGACACATGGTGACACTGAGACACTAGGGGACACTGGGAGACGTGGGGACACTGAGACACATGGGGATGCTGTGAGACATAGGTAGACACATTGGGACACATTGGGACACGGAGACACTAGGGACACAGTGTCTCCATGTCTCCCAGTGTCCCCATGCCTCCTAGCCAGTGTCTTTAGTGTCTCAGTGTCCCCATGGCTCCCAGTGACCCCATGTCTCCCAGCCAGTGTCCCTAGTGTCTCAGTGTCCCCATGACTCTCTGTGTCCCCATGTCTCCCATTGTCCCCATATGTCTGTGTCCCCATGTCTCCCAGTGTCCCTGTGTCTCCCAGACAGTGTCTGTGTCCCCATGTCTCCCAGTGTCCCTATGTCTCCCAGCCAGTGTCCCTAGTGTCTCAGTGTCCCCCTGTCTCCCAGTGTCTGTGTCCCCCTGTCTCCCAGTGTCTGTGTCCCCATGACTCCCAGTGTCTGCGTCCCCATGTCTCTGTGTCCCTAGTGTCTGTGACCCCATTTCTCCCAGTGTACCCAAATGTCTGTGTCCCCATGTCTCCCAGTGTCTCCATGTCTGTGTCCCCATGTCTGTATCCACAAGTGCCCTCATGTCTCCCAGTGTCCCCAAGTGTCTCAGTGCCCCATGTCTCCCAGTGTCCCTAAGTGTCTCAGTGTTCCTGTGTCTCAGTGTTCCTGTGTCTCAGTGTCCCTGTGTCCCCATGTCTCTCAGTGTCCCCTAGTATCCTAGTGATATGGGACACACTGAGACATGGGGACACTGGGAGAAATGGGCACACAGACACTGGGAGACTATGGGACTGGGCGACATGGAGACACTAACACTGTGATGTACAGGGACACTGATGCCAGGCTGGCCTTCCAATTCTTTGGACAGACATACCCCCTTTTTGGGCATGTTCGTCCCTTTTGGCAGTTCTGGTCATGTGATTCGCATCAGTGGCCGACTCTTTTACCCTGCCCATTGGCTTCCTGCTTCACTGGACACTTCTGTTGGTATGGATTTACTTGAAAGATGAAAACATAAATTAGATCAGGGGTAGTCAACCTGGTCACAACCGCCCACTAGAGGGCGGCTTGGGATTTCAGATGGGCGGAGGTGGGTTCTGCGGAAAAAGCCCAGTGGGCCTTGATGGCTGTGGGTCAAGGCTGGCATGTGAGATCCCCTGCCAGCCCATGCAGAGCCAGCCTTGCTGAAAGCCCTTTCAGGCTGGTGAGGAGATCAGAGATCTCCCTCAGAGTACCACTGGCACTTCGTTCAAACAGAGAGAGGCTCTGTGTTCCTCCTGCGAGCAGGCTGATCGTAGCATTGCTGCGCGTTACCATGGCAATGCTCCAGTACAGTGCTGTGCTCGCAGGAGGACAGGAGAGTCAGCCTGCAGCTGCAGGAGCTGCAGGCTAAAGTGAACATGCCACCACTGGACCACCAGTGCTTGCAGCACTATGCCTCCCCTCCCTGGTAAAAGGTAAGAAGAAGGGAAGGGGAGACGTTAAGATAGATTTTCACATCTCACCCACCTACACACAGCATAGACCCTATGCACCTGTCACACAAAAACACACACACTACACCACCCCCTCATACACAGACTGCCTCTCTCACAAACACACTGCCCCCTCATACACACTCTGCCCCCACACACACACACTGCAACCCTCACACACCTACTGCCCCCTCTCACACACAGCACCCCTCTCACACACAGCACCCCTCACACACACTGCACCCTTCACACAGACAATTCACCATTCACATACACACTGCACCTCTCACACACACACACTGCACCATTCACACACATACAGCACTCCTAACACACACACAGACCCCTACACGCGCACACATACAAAACCCTCCTTTTGAAAAAAATTTAAATTGCACTTTCGCTATAAAATAAGTTACTGCAGCATTGGTGGGCAGTAAAGAAATTTTACCATCAACAAAGATACAAAAGTAGGGGGTAGGCATTAAAAGGTTGACTACCCCTGAATTAGATAAAGAGATTAGCATAGAGTATGTGTTTTCTTATGGCTACATCCTTTGAGTTTCCCTCCAACACCAACTCCATCAGATACATGACGCTTGAGAGGTATGACTGTTTTAGTGTTTTTGGTCGATAAGATTCTGTAATTAGGCCCCATCATAATTGTCAGCACCAGGCCCACTGGGCTCTTAATCCGGCCCTGACTGTAATGTACAGTGTTGGTGTTTAAAGGGATGCTTGTATACATTTATTGTGTATTAATACAGGGGTGTATTTCAATGTAATGTTTGCGTTTGATTGCAGGGGTGTGTCTGAATGTAGTGTTCACTTTTAAATGTGGATGTATATTTACACACACACTGACACACAAAGGCACATACACAGATGTGTGCACACAGCCAGACTCCTCTCCCCTCACACTGCTGCTGTCACTTCCTCCCAGCCGGCCGACATTACAGGGGCCCGGTCGTGGTATTAAAGGACCGTGGCACTCGACCGGGTCCCTGTTGAGCAGCAATGTTTCCCCTGTGCTACAATCATAGTATTGGGGCAACCTTCCGCGGCACCCCTGTGTGCACATCGAGGTGCGGCACACAGTTTGGAAACCACTGGCCTATAGTATCCCTCTAAGTCACTACTACCATAAAAAAACAGATTTTTATTCTGCTAGATACCACAAGCATATCAATACCTGCCGTGATGGACTGTTTTGCCAAGCCCATGTCTGCTTTAGATTATAATGATTCCCAAATTTGAATCTCCCCTCTCATGCCATATGATTTGCAAAATAAGACTTCCCAAGCTATATTACTTTGGATATGTTGAAAATTATTGTGAATCTTTTTAATTACCAACATCACCAGACAGGCCAGCCCATTAAGGGCAGAACATGCATGAAACATTGTTACAGAACTCTCTGCAGGGTCCTAGTGCCCTAAACATAGAATTTGGGGAACAATTCCCTGGTGTCTCCAAAAGCAGGAACCTAGTTTGAACCTAAAATAGTGACCATCCCACTGAAATTCTGAATGTTGCACGGCTTACATTTATCATGAAATAACCCTCTTTGTTAGTTGTCCTTTTTTATTTTAACACAGTATTATCATTATTATTATATTTTGCATTTATATAGCGGCAACTTATTCCACAGTGCTTTACAATATTATAAAAGGGAGCAATTTAACAATAAATGCGGCAATTATAAAATGTTACAGGAACAATAGATTGAGGACCTTGCTCAAGCGAGCTTACAGTCTAGAGAAGATGGGGTATAAAAACACAATAGGTAGGGCATCTAGGGGGATAGCAACCAAACAACGAGGTGGGAAAGTAGCAGAACTGGAGGTGAGAGTGAACTGTGACTCTTTAGGATAGAGTAAGAGGCAGTTAGAAGTTACTCAGGGAGGCCATAAGCTTTTCTGAAGAGATGGGTTTTGAGGGACTTCTTAAACTATTGCAGACTACGGGAGAGTCTTATGGGGTAGGCAGGCTGTTCCAGAGGAAAGAAGACACCCGTGAGAAGTCCTGCAAGCGTGAGTTAGCAGTAAGGGTGTGAACAGTGGTCTGGAGAAGGTAGAATGGCAGAACGGAGAGCCCGAGAAGGGGCATACCTATGAATTTGTGAAGAAATCGCATTGTTTAGAGCTTTATGAGTAATGGTTAGTATTTTGAATTGACACCTATAGGAAACAGGAAGCCAATGTAGGGATTGTCATAGGCGCAAGGGATGAGAGGAGCAGCATTCGTTACGGACTATAGTGAGGCATTACGACTTCTGGGGAGACCAATTAGGCGACAATTACAGTATTCAAAACTAGAGCATGCACAAGCATCTTGTGTAAAAAAGGAGAGGACACAGGCAATGTTTTTAAGATGGAATTGACAGGTTTTTGCAACAGACTAGATGTGAAGCACAGATAACACCAAGACAGCGAGCTTGCAAAGATGGGCTAATGCAAGTACCATCAACTTGCAGGGAGAGCAAAAGAGGAGGATTAGTAATATGAGAAGGAAAAATAAGAAGCTCAGGTTTAGAGAAATTAAGTTTTAGAAAGATGGATATCCAGTCAGAGATGGAAGAAAGGTAAGCCATCACACATAGTAGGACATGGGAGGAGATACATATCTGTATGTCATTGGCATACAGATGGTAGTGGAAACCAAATTAATTTATAAGCTTGCCAAGAGAGGCAGTATAAGGGGGACCCCAACAGAAACAGGGCGAGGAGAGGAGGTATCATTAGAAAAGGAGATACTGAATGAATGTTGGGAGAGTTAGGAAGAGAACCACAAGAGGACAATGTCAGCGAGAACGAGAGATTGAAGAGTTTGGAGAAGGAGGATATGATCAAAGTGTCAAAGGCAGAAGAGAGGTCAAGAAGAATTAGGATAGAGTAGAAGCCTTTGGATTTAGCCACAATTAGATCATTTGTAACTTTAATCAGAGCAGTCTCAGTAGAGTGGAGGGGGAGGTAGCCAGATTGAAGAGGGTTTGAGGAGAGAAATGCCAAAACAGTAAAAACAAGTCTTTCCTGAGGAAAAGGGAGAAAGGATAGTTGGGAGGGGAAGAGGGTACAAGAGATGGCTTTTTTCAGATGCAACGGTAGAATGTTTAAGGGGAGCAGGGACTATGCCAGAAAAGAGCAGATGAAGATATGCATTAAGGACGGCACAAGACAAAGGGAGAGAGATCTGATAAGGTGAGATGGGACGGTATGAGAAGGTCTGTAAGGGGCTGAAAAGATGTGGTCCAAGTAAATTTGCAACAGAGAAGAGCAAATGAGTGAGAATTCTTTCCTTAACTGTTTAATCTGGTCTATAAAGTAGCATGCAAAGCTATAAGCTGAAATGTTAGTTTGGGGGCTGACCACAGCAAGGCAAAGAAGAGAGTTGAATGTATCAAAGAGACCTTCCAGAAATGCTACCTCTACATAAGGCTTTAACTGCAAGACTTGGTTGTAACACAAACAACCCATATTCAAATTTCACATACAACCATAAAAGCAAAAACATCCACATACAATACTTCAAACACACACTACACACACCCTTTACATACATTCTCATAACACCATAGACATTCCACACACATAACTTAACACACACAATACATAAAGCCCACACACTTGCCACCCATAGGGACTTTAAAGTTTTACTTTGGCACAGCGCTATTAAAAGGTTCTCTACCTCTGTCCTAGATAAACATTCTGTTCTGGAACTGAGGCTTCTCTAACAATAACAATCTAATCTCCAAAACTACTAAGAGTTCAAAGGAAGGAAATTTATATATATATATATATATATATATATATATATTTTTTTTTTTTTATAAATAGAAACTTTTGTGGTTATGTTTTGGTGGCTCTTGGATCTTCTTTGGGCATTGGTTATCAGCCACTATCTGCATAGTTTTACAAAACATGAAACCCAAAGTTGACTTTGTGACTTTTTGATGTGCGGCCAGACACCAAGTGTGGAAATGCAAATTGTAAGACAATAGCATAACTTTCTAGTTGCGTTCCTCTTACATTCAAGTTATTCAGTGCAACATAAATGTTTTGGATAGATTTATGGATCTCT